GCAGCAGTACTCCACTCTAGATAGCACAAGCGTTTTGAAAAGTATCATCATCGGTATAGCATCTCTAGTGTGAAAAGTTCTTGTTATCCAACCTGTCATTTTTCTTGCAGTTGTGACGGCTACTTTATTGTGTTCTTTAAAGGTAAGGTCTTCCGACATGAGTACACCCAGGTCCTTTACATTGCCTTTTCGTTCTATGTTATGATTTGCCTGCGTTTTGTACGTGGTTTCTGTTTTTATATTTTCAATTTTTCCGTAGCGCATGAGCTGAAACTTATCCTCGTTGAAACTTATCCTCCTATTATTTTCTGTAGCCCATAGAAAGACCTGATCTACATCTGATTGGAGGTTTGCCGTGTCCTCTATGTTGCCAACTCTCATGAAAATCCTAGTGTCATCTGCAAAGGATGATACAGTGCTATAGGTTGTGTTCTGGTCTATGTCCGATATGAGGATGAGAAAAAGTACTGGAGCAAGCACAGTACCCTGGGGGACTGAGCTCTTCACGGTTGATGGGCTGGATTTTATTTTGTTGACTATTACACATTGGGTTCTGTCAGTCAGGAAATTGTAGATCCATCTGCCTATTTTCCCGGTAATTCCTTTTGAACGCATTTTATGTGCAATAACACCATGGTCACATTTATCAAAAGCTTTTGCGAAATCTGTGTAAATTACATCAGCGTTTTCAGCGTACATCAGCGGCCAGTACGTTTTCAGCGTACATTCAGCGTACATCAGCGGCCAGTCTAGCCCTCGTTCGTGCCTCCTGAATGCACGTCTCACCAACATTTATATTGCATTAAAATGCATAAAGGGACATTTTCTTAAGTTTAACCCAATTTCGTCAACGTCTTAGCATTTTCATAGTTAAGAAAACGTTCTCCAACTTCCGGACCGGCACAACTCTCGCCATATTTAAGGACCTTCCAGGACCTTCCTCTCCTGTTAACTCTTGACTTAACCTTTTTCTACCCCCCCCCCCCCCCCCCGGGTCAAAGAAAAAAATAAACTTCACTACCAAACAGTGCCCTGATTTCCTGTACATTTCTCATGTGTATATATGTGAAAAAAGTCTCCAGGTGAACAAAACGATTCTGAGTTCACGCTAAAATATTTGTCCTGAAATAGCTTTACAGAGGCCAAAGCCACCAACACCTGAGGCAGGCCAAAGCCACCACACCCGTTACTTCCGTTCAATTTCCTCGCCCCGTCCCGCCCCGCCCCGTCCCGTCCCGCCCCGCCCCGCCCCGCCCCGCCCCGCTCCGCCTCGCCCCGCCTCGCCCCGCCTCGCCCCGCCCTTCCCTCACATTCACACACCTCTTGTCAGTTTCAGTCGACTCCTCCCATCTCACTCCCTACTTAACTTTCCAATCATCTATCAGCTTCATACCCAACCTGTTCTACAGGTGCTTCCTCTCTTCCCGCCGCCTCAACATTCAGTGATGAACAGGAGCGTCTCCTCTTACACTGGAGAGCTCCCCGGCGTGGTGCGAGTGCCGTCACTCACGTAGTGTAGAGTTACGTGGCCGCCCATCACACCCGACACCACCCACCTTTACCTAACTTCACATTCTCCCTCGTTCTTCGCCACACTCAAAAGCTCTTGACCGAGTTTGGCATCGGAGGTTCCTCGCTAAACTTGACGGCATCCGCGGGGTCCTCGCTTCCTGGACCACCTCTTTCCAAGATGATCACTTGTGCTCTAGTTGTAAACATAACGCTTCAGGTTTCTTCTATACTCGCGTGGTGGTCCTCCAGCCTGGCGCGTGTCTTATTAACACCAACTGATCTTCAAGACGTGTAGTAGAAGACTTAACTTTAGTCGAGTTTATCATGCAACCCCGCGCCCATCCTCAGAGCGGCGGCGGGAAAGGTTCGAAGCAAAAAATGGGCTCAAGAAATGAATCGCAATGTTCCTTTAGCAGCCCGTCTTCCAAACAAAGACCCAAAGGCGATTCCATGCACCCACCGAACCCCCTGTTTATAAATGAAAAACGGTTTACACAACTCTTCTGCTGATGTGTCGAACACTTCCGTTCGAACAACAAGTGCTTCACTGACGAATTTTGTTCGAACAACGCTGTAAATGCTTCACCCACGTACTACAAATACAAATAATCACCAACTTAAACACCTAACCTATGCCTAAATATAATTTTAATTTATATTTCAGAAAATTCCCGTTTTGAATGACATTATGTTAAAATTTATGAATGCGTCTGTGGGGTCGACCGCTGGATGTAATGGATTCGAGTCGAGGACGGGTTGTCCTTTAGGTAAACAATTGAGAGCATTTATATGGGTGGATGTTAGCGACAGCTGCTGCTACTACTGCGGGGGTTCCTGGGGGCTCCAGCTCTCTCCTGGGGGAGGGAGGGCGGGCCACCACCCCCCAGATACCGTGGATTATATTGATCAGGAGCACAATAGCTATAGCTCCAGCGGGTTACAATTATATTCACATTCTTTTCAGATTTATTGTACTAGTAATTGCGCCTCTCCCTCCTCTAATGTTTTTATCAACACAAAATGCCAAATGGGACGTTACCAATTGTTTTCCCCACTCCACAAGATGCTAGTGTTTCCTTGGGCGGAGATGATAAGCTCCTACTGGCAGCCTCCGTCTTCTCACAGTCAGCATCATTACACGCTTCCTTCACTACTTACTGGGACCTCTGGTGTTCTGGTGCCAACCCCAGCCAGGGAAGGCGTGGGGAGGAGAACCCCCCCCCCACACAGCCAGGGGAAGGGGGAACAACCCCCCCACACAGCCAGGGGAAGGGGGAACAACCCCCCCACACAGCCAGGGGAAGGGGAAACAACCCCCCCACACAGCCAAGGGAAGGGGGAACAACCCCCCCCACACACAGCCAGGGGAAGGGGGAACAACCCCCCCCACACACACAGCCAGGGGAAGGGGGAACAACCTCCCCCACACACAGCCAGGGGAAGGGGGACAACCTCCCCCACACACAGCCAGGGGAAGGGGGACAACCTCCCCCCCCCACACAGCCAGGGGAAGGGGGAACAACCCCCCCCCCCCACACAGCCAGGGGAAGGGGGAACAAACCCCCCCCCCACACAGCCAGGGGAAGGGGGAACAAACCCCCCCCCCACACAGCCAGGGGAAGGGGAACAACCCCCCCACACAGCCAGGGGAAGGGGGAACAACCCCCCCACACAGCCAGGGGAAGGGGGAACAACCCCCCCACACAGCCAGGGGAAGGGGGAACAACCCCCCCACACAGCCAGGGGAAGGGGGAAAAACCCCCCCCCCCACACAGCCAGGGGAAGGGGGAACAACCCCCCCCCCACACAGCCAGGGGAAGGGGGAACACCCCCCCCCCCACACAGCCAGGGGACGGGGGAACAACCCCCCCCCCCACACAGCCAGGGGAAGGGGGAACAACCCCCCCCCCACACAGCCAGGGGAAGGGGGAACAACCCCCCCCCCACACACAGCCAGGGGAAGGGGGAACAACCCCCCCCCCACACAGCCAGGGGAAGGGGGAACAACCCCCCCCCCACACAGCCAGGGGAAGGGGGAACAACCCCCCCCCACACAGCCAGGGGAAGGGAGAATCCCCCCCCCCCCCACACACACACACACACACACACACAGAGCCAGGGGGAGGGGGAACCCCCCTAGCCAAGGGGGGAGGGGTAGCCCACCAACACTGGCAATGATTAATCAGAATGATTAACTGATTTAACAAGGATTTAATACAGATGGTTAATACAAAATTATTAACCATTACAGCTGTCATTAACACCGCCGAAATACCTAAAAAAAAATAATCATCATCAACCACAACTCAAAACGCAGTTGACAGCATGGTGTCGTTGCCTAATGTACTTTACCCATAAGGGGGAAAAAAACGCTACCAGAATATAAATTTAAATTAGTTACGTCAGCGCCTACGGTCGTCAAGTAACGATATCTAAAAAATGTGGGACGTAAAGTTCGTTATCAGCGGAGATGGCGCGATTACCCGCCTCGGGAGCCGCCGCCGCGGCCAGGTCACTCCGCCACAACATAATTCAATATAGAAATAAACATTTTAAGTGGCTACACTCGGCACATGTTCCCTCTTAATACTTGTTCTCTGCCAGGAGAACCCGATGCCCACATCTGGCGCTGGTGACGGCACCAGCAGCACGGTACATGACTATCACTCTCCGGCAGTGTAGGAACGGTCACCAGTCCCCTCTCACCACTTATGACCGAGATGGCACCAACTACTTGGGCTGGACGGTTAAGCGACAGTGTCGCTTCATGCAGGTCGGCGTTCAATTCACGACCGTCCAAGTGGTTGGCCACCATTCCTAACCCCTCCCCCCCCCCCCCCCACAGTCCTTATCCTGACCCCTTCAAGTGATATATAGTCGTAATGGCCTGGCGCTTTCCCCTGATAGTTCAATTCAAATTCAATGCAATGATAGCTATTTTGTGTGACCAAGAAGCGTTGTAACCAATGTCACAGCGTTGTGACCGTGACTAAGGCAGCCCGCCTGACTTGTCCAAACCGACGCTCATCAGTCCGTAGACACGCCAATATTGGCCGGCTTGTCACGTCACTAGAGCACAGAGATAGTGGGCACGGTAGTCACCGTTACTGTGACTACCATCAGGAGAGGAGGAGTGCGCTGGGCGGTAACGAGGGACCTTCCGTAATTTTGGCGCCAATAGTTCGTCATATCAAAATGAATATTTACTGTAGCTCCAATAATGAGGTCCATTATTGGAGCTGCAGTTATATAGTGTGTTTCTCGCTAGTGTCTTGGAGGGTCCATCTTCACTCTCCTCTATCGTGCATTTCTTAATGAAAGGTTAAAATTTGTATTTATGTATGCTCAAATCTTAAGTAATTATCGTTAAGGAATTTGATTAACTGTAGCGCGCACCACTCAAGAACCTGCTCAAACCCACCACCCACCAACAGACACCGATGTCCCACCACCACCCACATGAACACCACCGACGTCCCATAACTTACCTCCTTGTTAGCTATGGAGCACTTGAGGACCCCCTCCTCTGGGTCGTGGATGAAGGAGCAGCGGGCGCCGTAGCGGCAGAAGCCGGTCTGGTGGTAGGACTGACAGTTCCTGGTCTTGTACTTGCCGTGGTGCGCCGCCCCCCGCAGCTGCTGCAGCCCGTGGGCGTAGTTACACCTGCGACACACACCGTGTTCAGTAATCTGTACATCTGCCGATTAACGAGAGGCGGGACCAAAGAGCCAGAGCTCAACCTCCGCTAGCACAACTAGACGAGTACACCCCCGTCACCACACCCTATCACCCGCGGGATGAAGAGTGTACAGGAAAGGGAGATTTCGAGGAGGTTCTTATAGAAAACTTAGGCGGAGGGAATGTGAGGGAAGGAAGAGGTGGGAGGCCACATGCTAGAACATGCAACTATGATAAAAAGGAAAATATAGGAATATATTTATATGTTTGTCAAGGCATATACAAATATGGTACTGAAAGGAGGTCAGTGGTGCCAGACATTCAATGAACCTACGGGGGAGAGTAACAATGATGGACTTCCACAGGTACTCCCCACACACTGGTAGGGAAGGAGGGACCCAACATGAACACAGCATGAATCCTTATACATTGTAATGCTGTTCCCTTTACTTCAGTCAGGATGGGGGGCGGAGGGGGAGGGGGCTTCACTACCACAATTATTCTCTGGGTTCTTGATGCTCCAACTTCCCCCCCCCCCCCACCCCACTACGGAGAACCTCGCTAGAGTGAGCAATATGATCAACTATCATTACTTACATACTTGTCTACTGAACTGCGGGGGAACTAGTCCGTCTCTTAACATTGCCGGCAGTTGGCTAAACTTAATCTTTAATGAGCTTCTCCTTTCTTCCTTGTTGAACTCCCAAGAGGAATTTAATCACAAACTGAGCGGCGGACTCCAGTTCCTTTAGCAGTAAAGGGAGGGAGGTTTGTGTTTACAATTGGGGCTTGGGGAGTAGAAGAACTCCCAGAACCCCATCAACCAGGTATCAATGTTTGTAAACACAAACATTGTCAAGTCCCTGGCAGCCAAGAAAACTACCGTTGGTGAACCCAGAATATATCTGAAGTCCAACACATTACCAACATCCTCGTACATCACAACCACAACTATGCAGCAGCACCGTCGTCACCGTAACAAACACCACCACCGTCACAACCAATCACCACTCTGGCGGCACCAAGAGAGCCTACGGACCCAAGAGGCACATTGCAGTTAAATATTAACTTAAAATTACTTGAGCTGCCAATCATGTTGGTACTCAAGTGCAGGCGTGACGTCACGCCTCCCGCGCGCCTCTCTACATCTTACATTAAAATATATACAATTTGATTTTCAATTTTGAAGCAGTTCAGTTATTATTGTCCTTCTCGTATGGAGACTGACTTATTCATCAACGTCTCGTTTTCTCCCACCTTCCCTCCCACCTTCCCTCCCATCACTTCCATAACCAAGGAGCCACGCGACGATGACCAACAACATGGAGAAATGCGCAGGAAATTCAAAGAATCCTAGACCGAAATTGTATTTCGTCCCCGGGTGGGGAAAAGTGGTTGGGTACGCTTCTATCACCTAATGCTTCTGTTCACCTAGCAGTACAGAGGCACTCTGGAGTCTGTTAACCGTTGTGTGGTTATATCCTTGGAAGGGTCAGTAGTTCCTCCTTGGTGGTGGTGGGTGGTAGTAGTGGGAGGGAGACATCGATAATATCATAACGTATAGATATGGACAGGCTGCCTGTCCAACAACAGTTTCTAGTTGTAAATGCCACGTTCGACTGACACCACGCACCAAGGAACAGGCGATGAGTCACAATAACGCGGCTAAATTATGTTGACCAGACCACACATTAGAAGGTGGAGGGACGACGACGTTTCGGTCCGTCCAGGACCATTCTCAAGTCTTCCACACAATCGACTTGAGAATGGTCCAGGACGGACCGAAACGTCGTCGTTCCTTCACCTTCTAGTGTGGTCTGGTCAACAGACACCAGGAACATTATATTTTTTGTCATCAGACACACCAAACTGTGGAATAAAGTGTACAGCCTCCGACTTGAATATTCAACCTGGGTGAACTAGAAATCAATAAAACTGCATTAGGAGCAAGCCTTGTGTAACCTGCAATGTCTTTCAAGAAATCGTGAATATAATTTTTTTGGTGTATTTTACTTCGAAAAAACATACTGTAGAAGACAGTTTATACAACATATTGAAAATACAAGTGTAGATAAATTTCGAAAATACTCTAACCAAAAAGGTGGAACTAGTAACTTTCAGATGTAAGCAGTAAGGGAGAAGGTAACAGCCTTCTGATAGTCTTAGTCTTCCTTATTATGTGTCAACACTAATCAAATTTGCAATTTTCAAATTAGGTGCTTTAAAAATTCCCTGACAAAAGTTTAAAACTATTATATAGAATCCGTGTCTTAACTAGCTGACGAGACATCTTAGGCAGAGTGGCCCTCAAGTCCCCCAACGACTTCATGCAGCCTGCCAGCCTGTGTGCAGTACACACACACACGAGACACTCACCTGACGCCGTACTTGCAGTAGCCATGCACCTGGTAGGACCGGCACAACTCCGTCTTGTACTTCTCTGCGTCGAGGGGCACAAAGTTTTCGGCCCTGGTCGTCCACTCCGACGCTAATTTCCGACTGCTGCTACTGGTGCTGCGGCTCCTTTGATTCCCCTGGTCCTTAGGAGTCTTCCTGTCAGACCGAGAAGGGCGCGAAGAATCCGGGACGGGACACCAGTGGTCCAAGGGCGGAGGGGGAAAGATGGGGAAGTGCACGTCATTCAAGGCAGGACAGGTGATGGTTTCCCATGGCAGCAGGACAGAAGACAGGCCAACGTCTCCAGATTTCTCTACAGGTGTACTGCACAACGGCCCCTAAATAGAAGGATAAACTAATTACATTCATTCGTTCCATGCGACCACCAGCATACCCACCAGACTACTGCTGAGGCAGCAGCAATGGTCCGGGAATGTTTTAGAAGTCATCTATTTAACTATTTACTGATCTAGTAATGAAGGTAAAACCTGATAAAGTGTAGGATTACAGGAAGAGAAAACGAGGTTGTCGGTGCGGAGCCAAGCGTGGACCCCGGGGCGTTGTAAACAACTCTTATCCACAACGGCTTCCACGACAAAAATAATTCTGGTATCTGTGGGATATTTTACCGGCGAAATAAGTAACTGCTGTGTAGTGACGCTTGGGACGGCTGTGGAAGGAAGGGGGAGGCGGCGAGCACACTGTCTAAGAGACAGGAAATAGGAGACAGTGGAAGAGGAGAGAAGAGAACGCTTGAGGAAAAGTAAGTGTGAGGGGCGGGGATAAAGAGACAGGGAAAGAGGAAAAATACAAGTTGAATCAAAATAAGCTCTAACACATTATATAAAACTAGAATAGATAAAATAGGGACTAACCAGTAAAATGTGGGAACCATATACAACACGTCCATTAAATCTAAGACCTAAATATTAAAAAGGAGACCCATGTTCAACTAAAATAATCAAACCCGCCCAATAACTAGCCTACAAGTCCAAACCCGCTCAAATAACCGCTATTCTTGCACGTGAGAGATTCACGTTTCATGATATTTTATGATACACGTTTGCATGCTTGGGTAACATTGGCCGTTGTGTACATGCTACACAGACATGTGGAGGATGAGTATATCACTTGAGTTAAGTTAAACGCCTATGGGTCTAGCCAATGATTGTACCGAATGAACGGACTGACCTCCCCTCCCATTTCTTGGGGAACTGACAACCTACGTTGTTTGTTGTTTAAGATTCAGCTACTGGGAACTACAAGTTCCAAGTAGCACGGGCTATGGTGAGCCCGTGATGGACTTACCTGGCACAGGAGCGGGACAAACTGACACCCTACAAGCTCCTCTCTCCAATTACAGGCATAGCCAAAACTTCTAAATTTGGTCAGTAGCAGGCAGCTATTTAGATGTGACTAAATATCTTTCACTATCCAATTGCGGATGAAATTCATGTCATTTGAACTGGTGCACCAGTTATATTAACTTGGGTACATTATAGACTGTTCGTGTAAGGTGAGAACTATAAACGTTTGAGCATTTTAATGTCAGTTACGATCGATGACGCAAGTTTCGTAAGTCTTGGACAAACCATTTACCCAAATCTGTCAAAACTAACTCCCATGAGCTAAGTGCCTCTACTTGCTGTATAAACATTAATGTATTCAGCAACACAAAAGCAAACAAAAATTCACACTTTCAAAAGTAATGTGAAGAGCTTTAATCCGAGGCCCACTAACCCTAGTGTCCTCCACGAGGACAGTAAGCCGGCGGCTTGTCGAAGGTCCCTCCCGTTTGCCTTTTAGCTTTTCCGGGTAGATTATAAAATTTAACAGTTTAGGCATTTAAGGCTTCAGCGGGTAGGCTGTTAAATGGGGTTTATAACCCTGTGGGTGATGCATCTCTTGTTCTCGGTCTTACAATGTGGCTTGTTAAGCTTGAAACCCTTGCTCCTTATTTATGTTACATCTGACATTTGGATAAAATTGTCTGGAAAAACATCCAACTTTTAAACAAGACCTTTTATTAAAGTTCCTGTTTAAAAACCTGTATGTAACGAACATATCCTGAAGGCCAATGATCGTTATGCTGAAGGTGCAAATAAACAATTAATTCGGTCGTGCTTTGCAAGTTCTATTCGCAAAAGTTACAAGCGCCTAACTAGAGTCCAAACCGCACTTGACACGGGGAATTCACAAAACTAGACTGCACGAGCCCATTACAGCCTCTTCAACAATTAACTGTCATAGTGTTCCAAACCTCCAGACTCACTCCAACAGTCAATGTTTACCTCAGATCACCATACTTCAGAACTTCCAGAGACAATGAATACGACAATGCATTAGCTAAAAAAAAAATATAGTACATATAGTACCTGGAATATATGTAGAAATTGTGGACCCCCAAAAATCCAACGTCATTAAGAAGTGATGATACTTTTAGTGGTCGAGCCGAGAGAAATCTCCCACCACCAAAACACACTTTGTTCAAGACACGAGAAAGAAAGCGACCTGTACACTGTACTAGGCATAGTATAAGCACGTAGTTACTAAATTAGGCTTAAGATGGTGTCTTAATTAGGCCTAAGATGCTTATTTAAGCCTAGGATAGTTTAGAATCTATATTCCACCTTTTGGCTACCATTTTGAGTATTCCAATTGTACATAACTTATTTGGGCACATCAGTACTTTTTGGATGTTCAAGTAATATGTTACAGGTATTATAGTATCTTGTGGAGGTTGAAAAAGTTGTGTCGTACGGTTGGTTTTGTGTACAGCCTGAAGGCGGCGGCGACCTAACCTTCCCTAGACCTAATATGCATGTACAACGTTCCTCCCCTCTCCTCCCTCCCTCCTCTTGATACCTGCTTGATAGGGGTTCTGGGAGTTCTTCTACTCCCCAAGCCCGGCCCGAGGCCAAGCTTGACTTGTGAGAATTTGGTCCACCAGGCTGTTGCTTGGGGCGGCCCGCAGGCCCACATACCCACCACAGCCCGGTTGGTCCAGCACTCATTGCAGGAAAAATCTAGTTTCCTCTTGAAGATATCCACAGTTGTTCCGGCTCTTAACCACTATTTCTACTAGTTCCAGCAAAGTACCATAAGGTCACTTTCCAGAGAACTAAATGATAATTTATCACAACTTGTTTGACATGCAACACCGCCACTAGCGCTCCAAGATGGCGACATAATTTCACCACACACTTTCACCCGATAAGTCAAATTATCTCAAAATGATCCCCGCACAAATTCCCCTTACAATATGCACGACGGGGGCCAGATTGATGGATTGTTGCCGCCGGAGGAGGCTAGTTTATTGTCCACCCAATACTCATCCTGGGAACGGTAGCTCAAAAAAGGATTACAGAGCGCACAAGAGGTCTATCTGAACTCATCGGAGATTATTGCATTAACATCCATCCTGCACACACATAATGTCAGCTGTTTATATAGATTGTTCCTTTGAGACGAGAGTTATCATACCTGTGGGGAGTATGTACCGGGTAGGAGCGCTGGCAGGAGATTCTTCTGTGCAGGGGGAGGAGGAGGAGGAGCGTATGGGGGAGTGTTCGGGGCACCTCCTCCCTGCACAACTCCATGGCTCTGACCCAAGAGGAGACGGTCCAAAGCTGCCGCGGCCTCCTCCAAGGACATGCCACGGACCACCTGCAGGGATACAAGTCTGAGAGGGCAACAGAATCATCAGAAACGAAATAATGAATATCGAGGAAAACTTACACCAAGAAACATTTAAAAAACGGGAAAGGTAAAAGCTATTTTGTGCGTGTTAACACATTTAGGTACATCTGCATTTGTGTAGCTACCCTAGACTATATGAAGGGGAACACAGCGTGTCAAAAAACTAGCTACGTATGCTAAAAATTCCCATCACACGATGGTTCGCCATACAAAGGCATGTGTTAAGTAGTCTACTCTGGGTGCATTATGAGGATATCATCAACACAAGAGAGAATAAGGTAGCAGTGATACTAAAAGTTCCCATCTCGCAGGATGGTTAGTCATACTAAGCCATATGTTTGCCTGCACTGACAAATTTTGGATGCATTATGAAGATATCCTCAAGACGACGAGTGAATAAAATAGTTGCGAAACTCCAGGTACATCCCATGCCAACGGGTCTATTGTTTTCCTGCATTGTTTGAAAAACATTTGTTTACGCTTCTCTCTCTCGCTCCTCCAAGCTCAAATACAGAGTTAATTTGGATCGCAGTCGAAGAAATGTACAAATTCTAGAAGCATTAGTAATGAGACTCCTAATGTTATTCTTTAGATATATCTTTACTTTATTTGGCTCTAATTAGATTATGTAACTCATTTTGGGTACCATAAATAAAATTCCTTTAAAGTATGCAGAGAAGGATGATAAAGTTAACCCTGGACATAAAGACCCTCTCATACGAAGATAGAAAAGTAAACAAAAGAAGGCGCCAAGGGGAGATTAAAAACCTTAATTCACATTCACTAGAGGCGAGAGCCCGAGGAAAAAGTATACAAATGAAATGTTATAACAAGAGGGATAGTAATATTGTACTATTAAAAAAAATATTTAATAAGGTTTATTTGACAATAAATTGGGCAATTACCGATTTAGAAATTTTGTTGTAGATTCATGAAACTGCCATTTAACGTAAATATATATTGGGTGGCGTAAATATTTCAAATACAAACACGAGAGCGTGATTCAATAAAACTTTGGTTCATAGGCTTTTAGTCTCCAATATTATTATATTCTTATGTCAAGCTGTTGCGGTCACCTCTTAGCTCCGATGTTTCGCTTGATTTTTTAACCACGCCATCCTTTTTTTTTTTTTTTTTTTTTTTTTTGAGATATATACAAGAGTTATTACATTCTTGTACAGCCACTAGTACTCGTAGCGTTTCGGGCAAGTCCTTAATCCTATGGTCCCTGGAATACGATCCCCTGCCGCGAAGAATCGTTTTTTCATCCAAGTACACATTTTACTGTTGCGTTAAACAGAGGCTACAGTTAAGGAATTGCGCCCAGTAAATCCCCCCCGGCCAGGATACGAACCCATGACATAGCGCTCGCGGAACGCCAGGCGAGTGTCTTACCACTACACCACGGAGACTGCATTCCATTCATTATTTTTTTAAACGACAGCAAATGCGCT